GAACTGGGAAGAGAAAAGTGTTTGTAATGGGGCCTTGATGGGAAGGGTGGAGCAGACAGGCTTGGAAGACTTACCTCTTTCTCAGTTTCTCCAAAAACTCTGGCCTCTTCAGTGCCTCCCTGTCCCCTCTGTATTGGTGATGGAATCCTTGCCTCCTCCCACTCCCACACATCACTTAGTTCTTGGGAAGGTCAGTGCCAAGAGAGCTTTAGAAAGAGAGCCGTGGTGTATTGTGTTCTTGGAGGTTATAGTTCCTCCTGTTTCATACTCAGACTCAGGAATTGGCCAATGACAGGAAATCACACAGAAACTCACCAGATGCCCCGAACAATAGGATACAGGAAGCTGACACAGCATCACAATCTCTTTATTATGATTTCCACGGTGTTCACCCCCTGGAGCATCAGCTCCTTCTAGAGTGAAAGCTGAGCGTGGGGAGGAGCATGCAGCTGGGATGATGCGGAGACAGGGCTTGGGGATGTTCCCCTCAGCTCCTGCCAATCACCTTCCTCAGAGAAGCACGTAGGAAGGGCACGAAGGACCATAGGACATAGGATCCCCCATTGATACTTGAGTGCTCTCAGAACCCACCTCACTCACAAGCCTGAACTTGGCTGGGAGACAGAGCATCGGCCATCTCTTAAAGGAGGCTAAGCTTGAAGGCCCATGTTTCACCAGCTATGGAAAGGCCTTGGTACTTATAACTTGTTCATATCCGTGGCCACACCAACCCATTCTGTACACACTGTGATTGGGCTTCTATGTGGCCCAGACCAGACCTTTCGCCGTCTCCATGGTCTGGGTCATCGGGGCATGTGGCCCAGAGGGAACAAGGTTTTCCTTAGTGCTCGTTGGGTCTGGTGGAAACTCTATAAGCTGTTTTTGTTAGTTTTTTTGTTTTTGTTTTCCTTTCAAGGTTGCCAAAAGCAGTGAGGCAGCTGGAAAGCAACAACAGGGAAAGTGCCCAGTCCAGGCATGTGCATTAGTATCATCCACTCAGGGAGATCTCTATTGTCCAGGCTGCAGGCAAGAGCCCAGAGAGAGAGATCCTGGGCAAATGCAAACTAAATGGCGTGGAGATAGTAGCAATTTTATTTCATTGTAATAGAGGGGTGAACGGGATATGGTTACAGGTGTCCTGAATTGTGGCATCAAGGTTGTTCTGCCTTAGAGTGCCTTTTCTCTGCTGGTTGGAAGAGGACATGCTTGCGGGCCACTAGAGCCTGCTTCCAGTCCTATCTGGAGGTTCCTCTAGGCCGTGGAGTGGTCAGGGCTGGTCTGGGGCCCTGCCAGACAGCTTCTGCTGAGCTTCCCTTCGGCTTTAGGGCTTCCTGGCATCACTCTTACTAAAGCTGTGAGACCTGCGGTGGTCGAGGTTGTGCTTTGGCCTAAGAGGCCCAGGCACAATCCTGGGCTTACCCTCCCCTCCCCTCGTGAGGTGTCCTCTTCCCAGGCAGTTTGATTCTGTGCTTTCCATATTGGTGATAGGAATGGGGGAACCCCCAGAGTTGGCCACTCAAACAAGGCCAGGGTGACATCCCACAAGGGAGCACCACGGCCAGAAAGGCCAGTGTCAGCCCTGCAGGCCCAGCCACTTGGGCTGAGGGCAGGAAGAGGCAATGTACTCATGGCTTTGGCTGCGGCTGTCCTCAGAGGAAGAAGAGCACTTGAGAGTGGGTCAGTACCTAGGAGTGAGGGGACTGCTCCATCCCTGGGATCCAAAGCGGTCATCGCTCAAACGTGTAGAGCCTGGATCTGTTGGGGAAGGCTGGTCTTAGCACAGGAAGCCGCAGAGTAGGCCTAGAGACAATATGTGGCCATAGCTACTGTCTCAGCTGACCCTCTGTGGCTGCAGCTTCGTTGTGTCATCCAGAGGTCCCTGTCCTTAAATTTGAGCCTGGGGAACAGGACTCTTGGGTGAAAAACAGGCTTAGGGCAGGTGGTTTTCAGAGGAGCATATCTGTAACTCCAGCTTCTCTAGGTTGGGGGTTGGGGTGGGGAGTTCTTGGGAAAAGCACTGATCTCAGTTTGGGGCTGCCAAGACAAGACTGAAACGTTTTCTCTTATCCTTGTTAGAGTCAGACAGTACTTTTTTTGTGCTTGGCAGAATTTCAGACAGTCACAGTGATGCAAGGGTTTGAAAAGGAAAGAGAACTGAGTTCACTAGGTTTATAAGAGGGCTCCATGGATTAGGACACTACAGAGGGGGATCCTGAACAGGGTCTGAGTGGGGCTTCTGCAACACTGGCCGGGGAGGACTATGGAACCTCTCCTTTGGTAAAACACGAGATGCCTACAGAGAAGAAGCTGGTTGCTTTTCTATGCTTTTCTGCTTCCTGGGACTCCTGTGGACTGGGGACTCCATTTTTGGCTGGGGCAATGTTCCCTGGGCCCTCTGCAGCATGCCCCTACCAGGGAAGCCTGCTTGGGAGAGGTGATCCCAAAGGGGCCCGGTCCTGTTGTGGAAGAACTCCGGGTCCCGCTAGCCTGACCGGGCCCATGGTCTCTCACACGCACCCACAGAAAGCTAGAAGCTGCACCTCCAGAGAGACAGGCATTGCCTTGACCTGTAAAGGCCAGGGGACAAGAGGGTCGACTTCTAGTCCCTGTGACTGAGGACGAGGCAGGAGAACAAAAGCTGTTCCGTTCTCAAAGCCCAGAGCTTGTCTTTACTCAAAATGCCCTGTCCACGAGGTCAAGCAGCCCAAGGCCACGGATGTAGGAAGTGATTTGCCAGGAGAGTAAGCAGGAGACCCTGTGCTTAATGTGCTTTAATCTTCTGAGGCCCGGCTGCTTCAGGTGCAGTCCGTTAGCCAGAGTCATGTGCTTTCTTTTCCTTTTGGCTGGACTGAATAATGAGCCCTCCTCCTGGTCAGTCCTGAGAGAACGGGTAAGAAATATTTACAAAAACCTGTGGGTTTTGGACCTGGCCAGGGTGTCTGCTCAGGGCTGAGAGCATTGGCCTGCGCACTGAAGGGTTTGGGTTTAATTCCCAGTCAAGGGCACGTACCTAGGTTGCAGGTTCAATCTCTGGGCCCAGTCAGAGCGTGTTTGGGTGTCAACCAATCAACAAGAGTCTCTTATATCAGTGTTTTTTGTTTTTTTGTTTGTTTTGTTTCTCTCTCCCTCTCTCCCCCTCTCCTATTCTAAAAAATCAATGGGAAAAAATATCCTTGGGTGAGGATTAACAACAAGAAAAGTCAATATATTTTTTTTTAAAAAAGCTGTGGGTTTTGAATTTTCCAGGGTCATGTACATGAACCCAGTCTCATCTTCTATCTGTCTCATTTTAGATCTAAATAATCCAACCCCAGAAGCTTCTCACCCTGCTTCCATGTCAGGCAGTTTCTGCAGGAGACCATATGCCATACTCCTGGTTGCAGCTCCCCTCTTTCCTCTAAGCATCTCAACACTGAGCTGTCTGCTGCTGCTTTTGTAAACACCTAATTTAGTACAAATTACTTGAGCAATAGAGATATGTTAGCTTCTGCATATAGAGCCACCCCACCTCTCAAATAACTCTTAGTAGTCAGATCTGGCCAAACCTGCCATTAGGTTGGAAACAGAAACCTGATCCCAAGGACCTGGGCTGATCCGTAACATGCACTGACTTGAGAACTGAGGAAGATTGCTGGGGTTTGGAGGCCAGGCTTGGTGGCCTTGTGGCAGCCTCTGCTTGTCCCCAAAAGTCTCCCATTCTAGGCCCAGGCCTTACCCTGGTGGAGAAGAACATGTAGCAAACAGTGGGGAGAAGTAGCAACTCAGACCATATCTCAGTGATGGGGAGAAGAGAAAGCGGAATCCTCTGTGAGGCTTTGCTGGAATTTTATCTGCTTAAGAGAGCTGAGATGCAAATCTTCTTCTTAGATCCAGCCTCTTATCCTCTTTGTCAGGGTGGTTGGAAGAAATCCCTCCTCAGAGTTTCTGTGGAGCTGTTCTTTCTTGGTCTGTGGAAGAGGCTGGCTCTGTCCTCCAGACAATGGCACACATTTCTAGGCCTACAGTTGAGTTGAGCTGGAAGGACGGAGAAGCATGAGCCTTCGCCTCTTCCATCCAGACCCTGTCCTCACTGGAGCTCAGGCTTCAGGTCTCCGTGGTGGCTGACTTGGTGAAGCATCTAACACTGAGAGCTGTGACTCCTGCCATCATACTTATTCCATTCAGGCCCCTGGGGCTCTGGGCCATGAGCTCGCATCTGAAAAACAAGGGCCAGGATGGCTCACCTTGATTTTGGACGGTTCTTCTAAAGACTTGACTTGAATGGTCTGGCCGAGAAGTTCCTAGAATTCTGGGTCCTTGGGAGGGACTGCCTCCCTTTTCTAATTAGGACCCCACTGACTAGTTACCTTCTCTGTTACCGGGAATTGGAATTTAAGTAAACCATGTGCTGAAGTGCAGTGGTGGTTTTTAACCATTTCCCACCCCAACAACCCTGAGGGACATAGCACATACCTACTAGAACAGTGGCTCAGCACAGGAGGGATTTTTTGAGTAGGGGAAAAGGGAACATGTCAGCATCTCCAGGACAGCAGGTGAATCTGATATGCCCCTTAGTAAGAATCGCTTGGCCAGTGTCTTATCTAATGGGATTGGAACTGACGAATAGGATGGGGTGAGTTAAGACCCCTCATCTATTCCAGTGGATTCACAAAGAAACGTTGGTCCTTTCAAACCAAAAGAACCAGGTCTCTGAAGGCATGGGCTGCAAGGGGTGAGTGTGCAGGCATATACGTGTGCAGTGGTGGGCCATGGGGAGGTGGGTGTGTGTGTCCAGGACTGGGTGCTGCCATAGCTCCCAGGGCTTCTCCCTGTAGCAGTGGATTTCCTGCCTCTGTTGTGAGGGGGAATGGTGATTTTGGTGCCATCAAGCTTGGTGACAAACTGAGATGTTGGCAGTGCTCCGTCCTCCTGAGTCTCAGTACCAGAGGTTGGTGGGGGGAAAGGGAGAAGGGAAAAAGAGAGAACGCCACTGTCCCAGAATCCAGCTTCTCCGCCCCATGCTATCCTGGGGGTTTCAGGTGAATGGCTGCGCTGTTCGGGCGGGCAGCCAAGATGTAGATGACATTCTCCCGCAGGAAGGTAGGCCAGTCCACAGATCTAGAATAGAATCAAAGGGAGGTTGGTGAGGCTGGCTGCAGAGCCCGGAGGCTCATGGGACCCGATCCCAGTGTCAGTGCGGCTTGAATTGGACAAAACTGCAGGAGCCCTGGATTATGCCTGACATGGTTATGGCCAACTGCACTTTCAAGCTGACAGACCAGCTGGCAGGCCCTAAGGATCTGTGGTCAAATGTGCACTCCTGGAACCTGGTTTCTAAGGTGGACACTTGCTGTTTGGGGGTGACAATGGGTAATACCCTCTCTTTAAAAAAAAAAAAAAAAAATATATATATATATATATATATATATATATATATATATATATATTATTGATTTTTTTACAGAGAGGAAGAGAGAGGGACAGAGAGTTAGAAACATCTATGAGAGAGAGTCATTGATTAGCTGCTTCTTGCACGCCCTCCACTGGGGATGTGCCCGCAACCAAGGCACATGCCCTTGACTGGAATCGAACCCGGGACCCTTCAGTCCACAGGCCGATGCTCTATCCACTGAGCCAGACCGGTTTTGGCAATACCCTCTCTTATTTGTGTGTATTGGGCGGTTGGGGGAGTACACAGCCAGTTGAGGAGATCCCACTCACCTGGACTCATGCTCTGTGGGCATCAGCGCCTTGTCCTGACTCTTGCTGCTGCCGCTGGCCGGGCTGCTGTCCGCTATGGGACCCACATGGCTGATGCTGCCGGGCATAAGGGCATGCAGTTAGGAGTGAAAAGCCTGGCCCCTCCCACACTCTGTGAGCCCATGTGCATGTCTAGGCTTTCTGATGGGGGGCGGCAGTTTGGAGTACAGACTGCCCGATGCCTTGGCCAATCCTCTGGCTGAACACAGGAGGATCCTCTCCTGGCTGTTGGCAGGAGAAACAGGGGAGGTACATTTCCTATTCATGGCCATTTAGGTGGGAAAGGTGGGGGCAGGGGCTGGGAGGGAGCGGACCTGACACTGGAGGAAGGAGCCTGTGGGAGGTGTTTGTGGAACCACGAGTGCTGTGCACGGTGGCACTCGGCCTCGCTGATGGCGCTCCCACTGCCCCAGGCCAGGAAGGTGGCCCGGGCTCGCTCCCGCTCCTTGACTGTCAGAAGCCTCAGCAGAGAGTTCTGAGGAAGAAGAGACAAGTTAAGATCTTGGAGGTGAAAATATCTTGTAAACTGTCAAGCCACCGAGAATGTTACCTCCATCACCACCTCTGTAACCTCCCTCTGCGGCAGCCCAGAGCCTTTCTGGTCACACCCACCTTCGCAGTGGGGTCCAGCGCAGACCAGTCTTCCTTGGGCCGTCTCCTCAGCCTAGGCACTGGGTCGCCTGCCGCTGGAGGGAACCTGAGCCCTTTTCTGGTACTGGTCCCTACCAGAGCGTGTCCCCCCAACCTGCCCAGCATGCTTCCCGGGAGGCTGCCACCCAGCATCCCACAGACATCCACCTCGGCTGGCCCTTACCTGGGGACGCAATTGCTGCAGAAGCAGGAGGGACTCATGGGACAGGAAGTCAGGCCACTCTATGTGTCCTCGATGGTCAGGGTCCAGGGCTGCAAACTGGCGGGCCGCCTGCTCCTCCTGCTCCCCGCTTAAGGCCCTGTCGCTGTCCCCCCGCTTTGCTGCTTGGTGACGGTAGCGCAGGAAGTCCGCCCGCGTCAGAGAGCAATCTGTGGGGAGGCACCACACGCTCGCCATGCCCGCGCCTTCCTCCTATGGGGCACCTCCATTCGCCTCTAGGGTACCCTCGAGAGCCCCTGAATCCACAGCTCTTGTAGCGTCTTTATCTCCCATCACTAGAAAGACTCAGGCTGTGGTCAGGTGTGGGAACAGGGACTTATTTACCCTTGAACCCCCAAATGCCACGGCATTCCTCTCCTCCTGGAAAGGATGATGGAGAAACCAGCCCCGCTCTGCCCAGCAGCACCCTCCGGCCTTACCAGGGATGACTTTGCACTGCTGGAAGGTCTCTGTGAGGCTATACATTTCCTCCTCGGTTAGCAGCAAGTTGAGATTGTTCTGAGAAGAAAAGAAGAGAAAGAAGAGCTGAGTCAGTGTCCACATAGGCCAGTAAGAAAGAAAGGCCAAAGACCCAGAGAAATGGAAACAGTTTGCCCACGGAAAGGCAATTCTGAGCTCACGCAAACGAGTCTCTCAGTCACAATCGAGGAGAAAGGGGGAAGGCTCGCTTCGAGTTGCTCAACCGTGGGGCAGGGTCTTCCCCAGAACCCAGGAATCCTGACCCCAGACCCGAGTCCCTTTTACTAAACACAGTTTCTTAAAATTATTTTCGGAGATCCTTCGGAAGTGCCTCGGGAAGCTGTTGCTAGGGAGAAAGTGGACTAGAAAGTGGGTGGAGTTGTGAATCCCTGGCCCATCCACTAGAGAAGCTCCATCTTTATCCATTTTAGGGAACTGGCGTCTGTGTTAGATTGCGCTCAAGAGTGTTTTAGCTTAAAATAACTTTAACTGTAACGGATCCTAATGGGTTGTATCACTCCACAGTGGTTTTGAAAGAGATGCCATTATGACCAAGTTCCTAAAAATCAAATGAGGTGGGTTGTGTTTTTGTGTGTGTGTGTGTGTGTGTGTTGCCATAGAAGTCTTAATTTCAAACGAGCACTGATGTGTTATGTTGTTAACATTCATTTACAGTATTACAGTCTTCAAAATATCAAAGGTTCTTTCTAGTAGGTTATTTCCCCTCTCCCCTAAAATACCAGCAAAGAATAGAAGGCAGACATTTCATAAGTATTCATTTGTGGATTTCATAAAGAACTCAAACCGTTCTCTCAATAAACACTGAGCACGTTGTACATGCTGGGCACAGTGGTGTGTAACACTGTGAGCTGTGCACTGCGGCTGGAGCATAGAATATGTGTGTAGGGAGCGCAGGAAGGAATGATAAAAGGGAGGGGAGAGAGGCAGAAGCCTGGCTACGAAGTGCCTCAACTGCCCCTTATGGAACCCCTCGAATCGGGCCTTTATTCTGAGAGCAAAGGGGGGTCACTGAAGGGTTTTGAAGTGTGGAGTGCCACGGGGAGACTTTTGACTGCAGGGTGGGAAGTGGATGAGAGGGGTAAGTCTGGAGGCGTGGAGAGCAGTGAGGTGGCTGTTGCGATAGTGGAAATAAGGAAAGATGAGGGGCTAAACGAAAGCATGAGAATGGAGAGCGAAAAGGTATTAGGAAGTTGAACCAGTAGGACCTGTTGATTTACTAGATGTGAGGAATGAAAGAGAGAAGTTGGGGTGGGTGACTGGGGGGTAGGGTGAAGTGGTATTCACAGAGGTAAGAAATGGGAGGAGAACAGGTTTTGGGAGAAAGATAAGTTCATGGGGGTGGGGGCATGTTGAATATGAAGTACATGGAAAGCACGGAGATGACTTTAAGTCCAAGAGACAGAGAAAATTTAGGTTTGGACACACAGGTTTGAGAATCATTAGTGTTTAGATGATAGCTGGGGGAGGCCAGGGATGTTGCTAAAAATCCTACGATGCACACAGCCCCCACAACAAAGAATTACTGTGGCCCGAATGTCAACAGTCCTGAAGTAGAGAGATCCTGTCCTAGCTCTCCTCGGGGACAGGATTGGGAAACTCCTAGGTCTCTGCCTAGAAACCAGTGTTCTAAGCCCGGGCCTCCAGAAAAAGTGCCCTGTCCTTGAGGAGCAGCAGCCCCCGGCCCCTGCGGTCCAGGCTCACACAGTAGTGGCAGCTCCAGCCTGTTTCCGTGTGTGCCATCTCGGTCACTTCTGCTGCACCGTCTCCTTGGATGTAGCCCATGCGGCGCAGGCAGCCGTCATGAAAAACCCTGGTGCAGACCCTGCATGGGAAGAGGCTCTCGGCCGTCCAGACCTCACAGACATCACACATCTCATCATTGACGACCTGAGGAAAGAGGGCAGGAATGAACAGGGATGTGCAGCAAGATCCTCCGGCCACCAAGCCCAGAGCTACTCCCATAGGGCTGTCTCCCTGGAGCAGCCTAGAGCAGGGCCGGCAAACTCATTAGTCAACAGAGCCAAATGTCAACAGTACAACGATTGACATTTCTTTTGAGAACCGAAAACCGACTTCTGGGCATGGGCCATGAAGTTTTCATCGCACTGTACGTGTGCGCCCCGCATGTGATATTTTGTGGAAGAGCCACACTCAAGGGGCCAAAGAGCCGCATGTGGCTCGCGAGCCGCAGTTTACCGACCACTGGCCTAGAGGAACAACTCCAGCTGGAGGCAGTGTTAAGGCAGTATTTGTCATCTTGTCTCTGGAGGGCAAGAACCAGCAGGCTCTCCCAGCTGCTCAGGCCTGTGTGGCCATGTTTCTGAATAGGAATGCTACTACCATTTTTAGAAAGAATAATCTGTTGTGAGAGATTGTCCCAGGCCTTGCAGGACACTTAGCATTCTGGTTTTCTGGGCACCAAATACCACTAGCAACTCCCACAGTCATTGTGACCTCCCCAAATTCTCCCCACCCCACTCACGTCCAAATGCTCCCTTCCCGCAGGTGGGAAGGCTGACAGAAGACCTGCCATCGTATCATTCCTTGTCACCCACTGCCCCAGGTCTCTCACTGAGACTAATCCAGAATGTAACTGACAATTTCATTCTTGTGGAAGAAACTCAAAGATTGCTCTAGAGTCAACTGGCTTTGAGTCTCACGTTAACCATTACCCAAGGCCTCCCTGTCCTGCTTCCTGATCCTCAGAAAGTCTAACACTTGGTGCATTTTCCCTAAACTGGACACTCACAGGCTCTCTGGGTTCCAAGCAGATATCTGGAGGCTTGTCATCGTCCAGCTCCCGGGTGGGGCGGATGAAGGCAGGAGGGGTGAAACGGTTGTTTCTGTCAAACTCCTCAGGTTCCACTCCACGCCCGTCTCGGAGCCTCTCCCAGGCGGCGCGGTTGACGCTGCTCTCTTCTTGGAGCACCGAGGTGCTTGCCTCTGCTTCTTTCTCCTCCTGCACCTCCTGGACAGAGCCCTCCGCAGTGTCATGGTGGGACCCCGGGAGCTCACCTGTGCGTTGGATGGGAGGCCTGTCCCGCAGCCCATCCTTGAAAGCAGATACGGCCAGGCTCACCTTCTGCACCTGCTCCACCGTCTGCCGCTTGGACATCAACACCCCCATGGCTCTGGGAGCAAAAAGCGGAGGGGCCCCGGCTCAGCGAATGGCTGACCATGCTGAGCCAATCAGTGTCAAGCATTTACCTAAGTGGCAAGTGTTATTAAATGGTCTCTCTCTCTCTCTCTCTCTCTCTCTCTCTCTCTCTCTCTCTCTCTCTCTCTCTCTCTGAAAGAGTGGAAGGGAGGGAAGGAGAGAAACATTGATGTGAGAGAGATATCAATTTGTTGCCTCCTGCACATGCCCTGACTGGGCGGGGATTAGACCTGAAACCCAGGGACGCGCCCTTGACCGGGAATTGAAACTGTGACCCTTAGTATGTGGACTGATATTCTAACCACTGTGTAACACAGGCCACTGCAGTTTCTTCCTATTTTAAACTCAGTATCGGTGGGGTGGAGAAAGCAATTGTTAAGGAGTCAAAAGACCTTGGTTCTACTTCTGACTGGTCTTGTGACTCCCCCCCCCCCCCCCCCATCTATGAAATGAAGGCTGTCTGCTCACCACACTTCATGGGGCTGCCCTGAAGATAACTTTAGTTTATGGGCTTACCTGTGCTGAGTAGACTGGAAAGCAGGATGGTATTCTATCATCCTTCCTGTCCCAAAGCCAATTAGATTCAGGGATCCCAGGCCTCTGCTACCTTGAGATAGTTGGAGAGCTCAGAGCCCAAATCTCTCTTCTGCCCCACAAGATGACCCAAGGCTTAATGTCATAAGGCTTAATGAAGGGAAGTCCCTCCTATAAAAGCTGTGCACAACCCAGCCAAGGATAAGCCACATCAAATGCCTACTTTTTGAGTCAGAGTGAATGAACTATTTCCAGAGGATTCCTGAATAGGTAGTCAGAAAACACTACCATGTGGTCAAAGTCACAAACTCTCCTTTGCCCCCTAATTAGTAGCTGTGCCTCTTTAAGGGTCTGTTTATCTTTCAGCTGACCCAACAACAGACAGCGGGCCCATTACAAGCTCTAAGGTGCTTCTCACCTTTGTAAGGCTTCATTAATGTCACTCCCACATTTTCTGCTTTGATTTTTCTGAACCTTTCAAGGTCATTTCCTGGATAGGTTAAAAAGTAACGTCATCCCTGCTCTTCCTCTGCAGAGCATGGCACTGGAAAGTGAGAGTGCATTGCAAAGCTGTTTGCCATTTCCCAGCCTGAGGGGCCTTCGTGGGATTCAGCGGGGGAATGCTTGTTCTACTTAAAGTGGAGCAGAGTCCATTTTAGCCCTGCTCTGTCCATTGTAATCAAGGCTTTTTGAACAGTACTTTGTGCAAGGCACTAACCACTCATCATAGGAAATAGAAGACAGGAGAAGAGTCTTACCACGCAAGCTACTTAATATCAAAACTCAAAGAAGAATAAGACAAGGTTCTGAAGTGCTTAAACGAAGGTGAGACCACACTACTGGGAGTCAGCGTGGATCCTGAAGGATGGGTTGGAAGTTTCCCTTTGCTTGTGGGAAAAGGTGACAAGGGGTTTGGAAAAAGGTTAGAGCCAATTAGAAGGCTATGATAATGTCCAGGCAAAATGTAGAAGGTTTAAACAGAAATGATGGCAGCAGGAACGATAATGAATAAGTGTATTTGATACCATGTAAATAGAATTGGAGAAACTTAGGAATAAAATAACTAACTGGTCAAGGGTAAAGAGAGAGGGGGCAGTTTATATTTAATTCCCAATTTTATTGAGCATATAAGTGACATCACATTGTATAAGTTTAAGGTGTACAATGTGATGATTAGATTGACACACACACACACACACACACACACACACACACACACACACTAGGTGCACGAAGTCGAGCAGCTTGAAAGGAACTGTGGGCCACAAGGCTGCTGTGGCACAGAGGCAGGTCTCGGTCCATCCTCCAAACCCCTACCCAGCACCTCCTGCCATGGCCCCAGTCCCCTCTCTGCCAGCAGCCCCACTCCTGCCACTGCTCCCATGTGCTGAGGTGCTGGTCTGTCCGTACCCACTGAAGGCCGGTGCCCTCAGTAGGTGTGAGTGGCAGCTGCTGATCATCCTCAGGAGCAGGGGGAGGTGGAGAAGCCCTCAGGGGCGATCAGGCTGGTGGTGAGCAATCGGAACTGGCACCCGGCACCAGCAGTGGGTGCAAGCAATGGCTCCAGTGCCAGCTGCGGGTGTGAGTGGGGTGGTGCTGACAGTGGGTTCAAGAAGTGGCTCTGGCACTGCCAGCAGGTGCGAGAGGTGGTTGCTGGCCCCAATCCCCCCTCAGGAGCAGGAGGAGGTGGAGAAGCCCTGAGGGGAAATTGGGACTGGCAGTCGCAGCTAACACCGCTGATGGCACCAAGTGATTGGGGCTGGCACTGGGCGCCAGCAGAGGGTGCAAGCAGGGCTAGCGCTGGCAACAGATGCAAGTGCCAAATGGAACCACGGTGAGTGGGAGCAAAGAATTTTCAGTAACCATCAGAAGCTCACCTTGGTCTGGTGCCTCCGCTCACCTGCTCCACCATCCCGCCATGGCTGATGAGCACCATGTTTTGCACACACCCCCTGGTGGTCAGTGCACGTCATAGTGACCAGTTGTTTGGTTGTTCTGCCGTTCAGTCTATTTGCACATTAGCCTTTTATTATATAGGATTGTGAAGTTTTACCATAATGTTACATCTTTTACCTCACATAATTATTATATTGTTGTTATGGTGAGAACATTAAAGGTGAACTCTTAGTGCAACTTTCAAATATATAATACAACATTGTTAACTAAAGTCATCATGCTGTACCTTAGGTCCTGGAACTTACTCATCTTGTAACTGAATGTTTTTACCCTTTGGCCAGCATCTCCCCACTTCTCCTATCCCCCAACCCCTGTTTCTATGAGTTCATTGTCTTTAGATTCCACATATAAGTGAGACTCTACAGTACTTCATTCAGTCTTTCTCTGTCTGACTTATTTTTTAAAATAATTTTTATTGAATTTATTGGGGTGACATTGGTTAATGAAATTATATAGGTTTCAAGTGTACACTTCTTTAAAATGTGATCTAATGAGGGTAACCAACCAGGGTGGGGTCAGGGTTGGGCGGAGAGGAAGGCGCAGGTGTATATGTTAGAGCTTTTGAGGAGGCCACGGACCCAGGGGAAGAGGAAGGGCCTAGGGTCCCCTCACAAGCACAACTCTGCTCTACAGTTAGGTGGGAAAGCAAGTCCCAATCGGCGGTGAGAAGAGCAGGAACAGGCTCGCCTCACCAAGAGGGACAGTGCAAAACGACACGCAACCTTCACTGTAGACCTTCCTCGTGATCAGTTACTATTTCCAAGGGCACAATGTTTTCCTCAGAAACCTTTGGTGGTATGTTTTTCAAAATTTGTAACTGTTGACCCATAGTAAGAAATATAGTTTATGATATGACCCTGAACACACACAGTTACAAACACATGTTCATAGATCTGAAACGGAACCCAAACTTTTGTGAAACAATCCTCCTTTTACTATATGTTTTCTATCTCTTCTATCCTATTTCATTAAAATAACCCTGATAGTGTCTCTCTAAAATTATTTCATGACTTGCTAATGGGTGCAGATCTGCAATTTGAAAAAAACACAGCCTTAGAATCATTTTACATTTTTTACTATAGAAGACTACACTTTTTGTTGTTGTTAATCCTCATCCAAGGATACTTTTTTCATTGTTTTTTAGAGAGAGTGAAAGGGAGGAAGGAGAGCAACAAGAGCGAGAGCGAGAGCGAGAGCGAGAGCGAGAGCGAGAGAGAGAGAGAGAGAGAGAGAGAGAGAGAATGTGAGGTAGATACACTGATTGGTTGCCTCCCACATGCTCCCCAGCTGGGGCCGGGGATCAAACCTACAACCCAGGTACATGCCCTTGATCAGTAATTGAACCCGCAGCCCTATGGTCTGTGGGCCATGCTCCAGCTACAGAGAAACACCAGCCAGGGCTTCACTTTTGTCTTTTGATTTAAAGATGGTTACCTATAAAAGGCAGGGACAACATTGTGGGGGGTATAAGGTAACTTTCCCCCTGGCTAAAGTGATTTTAAGAACAGAATTCTCAAGCCTGTCTTAAGAACCTACGTGGTTGGAAGGTCTAGCAGAGGTGGACAGCTACTAATATTACTCTTTGACTGTGGGAAACCCTACTATATGAAAAGCTTATCTTCTGCTCTTAAGACATATTTAAAATAATGTTTATTAGGGAATTGTTTACAGTTATTTAAAGGTGGAAACAAACTCAACAGGAATGCAGTCTAGAGCAATGATTCTTTAGTGGCGAACTGGGCAGGTGGGAGGTGTCTATAAGAAACTCCAGATGCCCTGGCCAGTGTGACTCAGCTGGTTGAGCATCCTCCTGTGAACTGAAAGGTTGCTGGTTCGATTCCTGGTCAGGGCACATGCTAGGTTGTAGGTCCAGTGCCTGGTTGTGGGAGGCAACTGATCGATGTCTCTCTCTCTTCTCCTCTCTCTCTCTCTCTCTCTCTCTCTCTCTCTCTCTCTCTCTCTCTCTCATAAATAAAAACATTAAAAAAAAAAAAAAAGAAACTCCCAGAGGAGTGGAATAAATGAGTGAACTGGAAAAGCATACCAATTATAATATTTGTTTGGAAAACAAACATTAAAAGCCATTATCCCCCTTCTTTGGAAACATGCTCTATAACAGCAGATATTTACAGTATCTTCTTGCTTGTTGGGGATACATAGAAGGTATTAGTTCCCTAAATAGTTTGGGAAGCCCATGCCAGAAGTAGTATCAGAAGTTTAGGGAGCAGTCATCACATTTATATTTATCAGCAAGAAAACCTGGGTTGGAAAAAAAGTTCAAAAACACTTATTTGGAGACCCAGAATAACCATATGCAATTCGCTTTTTCAAGACTGTTTTATTGGAGGAAAATCAGTGATATGCTTTTGGTTCTTGCTGGCTTTTTCGGATAATGTGCAATATGAGTTCTGAACAAAAACTAACCAGTTAGAAGGGTTAATCTGAACGTGAATGGACTCATTAACAGTGTACTAATATCA